TGTTGAAACAGAAGGGAAGGTGTGCGTATGAAAACCCTTAATGTACAAATTGTTTACTCGTTCTTATATATTCCTGACGTTGTGAAAAAAAGAGGTAAAATCTAATTTAAATATATTGTAATTACTGATTTGAATATGACGTAACATTTGGACATAGTGGGGTTTAAAATGATTCGTTCTGCCACTTGTTTTAGCCCCCGTCTCCCTCTATCACACATTCCTATAAAGAAATTTTGGAAATTGGAAACGTTGGTGTAGACATATTTGCATATCTCGTGCTTTGCGTCACATATAATTCCGTGCATTAACCAATGGAAAGGATCCAAATACATTATTAAGTTTAAGTAATCACAGCTCTATTTCAGTAAATAACCTGAAATTGCTTTAGAATTTTAAAATAAGTAATAGATAAAGTGTACCTAACAGGAAATACACTGCTTCATACAGCTGTTTTGCCCTTCTAGGACTCATCAGCGATGCCAGGAGTTAAATGTTGGAAATCCAAGTAGATCTAACAAAGGGTTGGAACAGAAGGGAAGGTGGGCGTATGAAAACCCTTAATGTATAAATGGTTTACTCGTACTTATATTCCTGACGTTGTGGAAAAAAGAGGTAAAAGCTAATTTAAATATATTGTAATTCCGTCTTTGCATATTGCAGAGTTATCTTCTCTTGTGAGCAGGTATTGATTGTTACGTCATTGGTTTTGTGTGAGAAAATTACGTCGTTTTCTCAAAATTTGATGACGTTACTTTCACAAACTAATGACGTAACAATCAGTACCTGCTCACAAAAGAAGATAACTCTACAAGACGAAAAGACTGAATATAGATTACTGCAGAAGTGCACTTAAATGATAATAAAACTCATGTTGAAAAAACAGACAAATGTTATGTTAATTACAATAGCGAATTTTATTTCATTTTTAACAGCTATTAAAATAAAGAATACTAATGCAAACACGATTTTACAACACAACATTAACCAAATTTGCAACAGGACTTATTCAACGTGTAACAATAATATATCGTCAAAAACACACATGTGTGTTGAATTTTCAATTAAAAATAACCCAATCATTTACATTGTATATATTTATAAAGCATATGTTCATCATCATAAGAAGTAGACGTTCCAATGACACATGAATATAATAAATAAACATTGACACAGACAAACACCTATGTCTATAACAAACAAATATTGCACTAGAAGATCACTGTAAGTACAGAACGGAGCACTGCACCAAATACCTAGTATTGCCCTCAGTCACTGCCTCCAAATAAAACAGTACCTAATGATTGTCACTGCGAATGTGTATATGTTGGTGCTTATATACTGTAGAAGTGGAAATTACACACGTATTTCTTTTATGTTCATTCTGAATTATGAAATATTTCCGGTCTGGTGTTTCCGTGTTGGCCTTGCTGCCTGAAGTTATATTAAATAACGTATCAGAATGTTTGCGGGTACATATTTTAGCACTTATTTAAGGAAAAGTTCTACATCGCGAAAGTTACCACAAAATAGTAGAGAGTGAAACAGAATGTATCCACATGTTTAGTACAATCTGCTAAAACATTCCCCATCTTAACTCCGATACTAATATTTCTTTCCCGAACAACAATCAGATTTATGAAACAGTTAGGTTTTGAGTATATACTAGATTTATTCACAACTATTCTATCAAACCTAAACATGTTCTAAGTTTTGTTTCTATATTTGTGAAGCCATAGATATACCGGAGCAATAAAACAGTTCATCTATCATCAGGAATAACACAATGATGATAGTGTACAGATATAATGAAAACAGTTTAATTTCCAATTTCATCAGTTTAAATGGAATTCTAGTTATGTTGTTCACTTCCGGTTCCAGTCATGTGATCTACCGGATATGGCGTGTCGTAATGGATCCGTTTGTGGGCGATGAGGGTACTTGCCAGAGAAAAACCTTTTCCGCAAACGTCGCATCTATGTGGTCGTTCTCCTGTAACATAATACGTCTTATTAATGCCAACTCAACAAAAAAAATCTACAAATGAGTTATGGTTTTAGCTAGGTTTGGTGGGTATTGATAAAAGGAATCGTTCGATTAATACGTAGAATGCATATTAATATTCATTTCAATCTCCACGGAAATCGAAATTAGGAGCTTCTATTTGAATTTAACTAGAGCTCGTCGGAATTGAAATTATTGAAATTACTAGACTGTCGGTCACATTTCAATCTTCATGTGAAAAATTAATATAAGTTATATGTCATTTTTATAAAGCCGACCGGAACCGGCCGTCATTCTCTTACCAGTGTGAGTATAACAGTGGATTTTCATGTCGATCTTTTGATGGAATCCTTTTCCGCAATACGGACAGATGAAAGGTTTGTAGTTGGTATGAGTGCGCATGTGCGTATGTAAATTGGATGCCCTGTTGAATGCCTTGTTGCACTGTGGACACACATAGGGTTTCACGGTGGTGTGAGTGAGTCGATGACGTGTCAGGTTGCCAGGCTGGCGGAACGCTCGGCTGCAAATCTCACACTTAAACGGTTTGTCTCCTGTATGGATCCTCTGTAAATAAAAAAATATATATATAAAATTTGAATCCATACGTTTGGTATATCATTAACTGTGGATTTGTTTGTTTGTTTGTTTGGCTTGGCTTTATAACGTTTCCTCTACAAACACAACAAGAACGTAAATCTGGGCCTAAAACGTAGAAAAGGGGGAAAAAATAAGTAAAATTAAAAAAAAAGGTAAAATATAAATGCCAACATTTTATGACTATTCTGTGATAGAGACCTATTTTCTATAAACTGACAACAGTTGTCATGGGAACCTATTGATTCCTAATACATAGGAACTAAAATACATAACAATATGTAGTATTTCATCACCCTGTTTGCTTCTTTTTTATAATTGGGTTTTTTGTTAATTTATATCTTCCAGTGAAGTCTTTAAGGTACGATCATAGATACAACACCATCTAACGTCATCACCTGGTGTGTGTGACGTCATCACATTAAAGGAAATTCTGGGCAAAGCATCTATGTTCAGAAGAACTTTTTTTTTAATTTCGCTTGGTATCCAGCTTTCGCGATATATTATTTTCAATCAATGAATGTCAATAGTTGTACGATAACTGTTTGTTTCCGAAACCAGAATTCTTGGCAATCGATAGTGCATTTGTATCACAATATACTTCTCTGCATAAATGGTTATCCGTTTCCGGAGCAAACGAGTTTTGTTTGAACCGTTTTCATTTTCGAAAAGTAAAAAAAAATGCATAGAATTGAATCTCTCTATTTGGGAATATGTATTTGTTTGATCAATTCACTATTTTGATTTTTCTTTGAAACTGATCGCGGTATAATGAGTAAGGAAATTATGATGTTTGTTTTAGAGATACATCACAAACGGGAACAATTTTACATTCCATTGTGAAGTGTAGCCATTTAAAAACACCTTTCAGGCTATGCATTGATTTCCTAGGCGGTACAGCATTGTCTGTTCCGCGGTAAACAACACTACCGGAAGTCACTTCGCTGGAAACAAAAACGGCACAGAAACGAAATAAAAACAAGACGGTATTGTCTATGATAGCGATGTGCCCGCTGGTTCAGTTATGTAAGTAGCAAAGAAGATATAATTAAACTCGACACACAGAAACCACATTTCTATTTACTTTGAGATTTTCAATTATTGGTTAGGCAGATGTGCTTGACACGCGATTGCGCTTGGACCAGATTGATTCGCCTTTTGGCATTTCAATTTTCAAGTGCCGAGCAATTACTTTTGTCAACAGTAGGAGAGGGACTAATTGAAAGAAAAGGTTACAAATGGACATGCATGGATGTAGCGATGCTACACTGGCACTTGATCAAATGTTGTTCTATTATATATGTCAACAAAATGTAATCCTATACTGTCGAACTGTTAGCGGTGACCAAATGTTTTCGCCCGTCTGTGTCAATAGTTGGAACTTGTGTTTGGAACGAGGCTGAATAGCTCGGCGGAAGCCACGTGCCCGCCGTCGATACTGTTCCGTATTTGGTTATTGGCTAAAGATGAATAGGGTACTGTATCGGGTGTTGGAATCTCTAAATAAATTTATAAAGTAAACAAATCCACGCGACCATTACGATCCCTATGCCAACATGAACATATCCCGTGGGGAGAGAGGGCGAGACGTACACGGCCGTTTAAACAATTAGTACCTGGTTATGCAGCTATAACTGAAGTTTAGAACTATAAATTAAAAGGAAAAGCGGCTATCTATTTCAATAAATAATTTTAAAATGACATCATAATGAAAAGGGAATCTCTTATTCATGATTACAGGCCAAAAGCAAACGGTAACGTAAATTTTTGATATGTATTAATGGTTAAAAATATAGAAGAATTCGACATTAAAATACTCTTAATATGACATCTATTGTTCAAAAGTGTTTGTAATTCAATTCAAGGCGAACAGCTCGTAATTAAGGATCTGGTAACTTATCCGTATATATATATATATATATTTAAATTCATGTTTATTGTTAAAAATTATCTGTTTTACAAAAACAAATTATGCCTTTCCGTTCATGTATATTGCTGTTAATATAAACAGAAAAGCAGCAGATTATTTTTGACTTCAGGGAACTTTAAAGTAGCAATTGCTTTTCACTTTTATTTTAACACGTACAACAACTATCACAGCTACCAACATCTATCTGTGTTATTCCTAAATCCCATGTAGGGTGATCTCCCTTTGTAACACCTCTCCATTACAATAACCCTCTATTTTGACACCTCTGCTAGGAAATCTGTTCCCATTCATTTCATTGTTCTGGTCGCGTGCCTCCTCAAACTTTACAATGAGGCTCGGTTTCGCACGCGGTGTGTCGGAGGGGATACATTATTGATCCTGTAAAGGGCCACGAAGGTGTCGTTACACCTGTCAGCAATGGTCTACAGGTGGGCACGACGGGACATGTAGAAAAACAGCAATTAAGGTAAAAATATCACAGGTAAATAAATAATTCTTTACACAGGCCAAATGCCGTCTGATTAATGTATTATGATATTCCTTTTGAAGATTGACCAGTGAAAAGTAAAGAAAGTCGTTAATCTGGAAACTTGTGAAAGTCTATTTATACGTAATTATAAACACACTGTTATGTCGGTAACATATCAACCTGTGATTCAGTAATCTTATGATACTGTTAAATTAACTATTAGTAGGTAAACACTTCTGTCGTTTATGTTTCTCGAGTCAAACGATATTTACAAACATTTTCTTGGTGTGATTTGTTTAATTAGAAAAAGAAGTAGAAAATGCGGAACATGTATAAAATACGAACTGCATGATATAAATACTATAAGATTATTCTGTATTCCATGGTAATACAATAAACTCTATAACTGAGGTAAATACTCATTAGTCACACAATTACACAGCCCGAGTTCCCTCTGGCCCAGACTTGGACATGTTGGTGTCAGGGCCAGAGGGATATCGGGCTAACAATGACAGAGAGAAATTTAAAATATAAAACTGTGTAACCCCGGTTATCAAAAACAAAAAAGGCTTTGGTATTATATATACAAACCATGACGTTCCTATCATATCAGTGAGACTTTTCGTTTTTATGAATAAATCATCGTGTGGAAGAAATCTCAATATGGTTAACTAAAATACAGATTGCGGAATTCCTTCGTAATTTTGAGACAATCAGGTACCAAACAAAAGGAAATTAAAACAAAACTGGCCAGGAAAAATAAGATTAATCTGTAGTCAATAAAGAAAATATATCTTATGCAAACTATACTTTTAATATACAGTTATTTAATTCTTAAATAGCTGGAGTAAATCTATTTTTCCTGATTTCAGTTTCACGAAAGTTCCTTAGTTACAGGTAGTTCCATTTCGTTTTTGTACAGTAAAGTATTACTGGCGTTAAGGGGAAATCGTCAGAAAAAAGCGTAACTCCCGTGATGTTTGGAGACACTTAAGTAAAGGGATTTCTTAAAGTTCGGGAAGTTTAAGAAACTGGATCCAGAAATAGATCTGTACTTACTTTATGTGTGACGAGAGTGTTGCTCCTAGAGAAAGCTTTTCCACAGACGTCACACTTGTATTTCTTCACTGGAGCAGGCTTGTCGGGATTACCGCGCTTTCCGCCCAGTCCGGTCATTTGGAGAAATGCTGGATGGAATAGCCCAGATGATGGGGGGATACCACCAAGGAACGGCAGCATTGATGTCGATGGTCCGAGAGATCCCGGATATGACGTTATTCTGTTAAGTCCCGGAAGCGACGTTGAACCATGGAACAAATGTCCGTGATGTGATGAATGTGATGGGTTTTCTAAACTCATTCTCGAATGAACAGGCGATATAGGCGTGTTTGGTTCTATCATTTGAACATTTCTTTGGTGAAGATGAGAAGGACTTGATTCTTTTTCGAACATCGTTGGGGTCACGTGTTCCTTCTTGACAGTCACGAGAGGCTGGTCTGGAGTTCCCTCGTCGGCGGAGCTACATTCCTTTAAGTTTCTGTCCATGTTATTGTCCGTGTTATTATTGCGTTCCGTGACTTTGGGTTCAATTGTCTTTCTACTTAATGATTCGTTTTCTCTCTGGAACATTTTTGTCAAATTCATGAAATAGTTGGTAAATGGAATTCTTGGGTCGACATGGAAAAACGGCTGTTTTTCTGGCGAAGGTGTGGAAAAAGTTTCTTCCGAATCGGAAGTATCCAAACTTCTTGATGAAGTCATATCCGGTGTCTGGTAAGCTCCTATGGATGCTGGATTAAGATTTCCGCGGGAAACTGATTCCGACATCCATGGGGATAGAAAAAATCCGGGGAAATAGCCCACCGATGGAGGAACACACATCGGCGGAAGAGATCCGAAAGGCAACGGATAGGATGGTGTCCATTTCTCAATCTTGTTGAAGGCGGAACTTTCAGAAGGGTTCAAAACTTTCGGCTTCACCGGATACACAGTTCTGGGTACGTCCAGCTCTGCGTCCGACATTGACAAATTTCTCGGAAATTCTTGTGGCTCAGAACCAATAGAAGACACTGGACTCAGCGATCCGTCCTCCATTCCTGAATCTGAAAGCCGAAACAATTCTCCATTAAGATTATTTTTATAAGATCGTTTTATGTATAGTGAAGTTTATATACTGTCCCTGATTAAAGCAAGTGTGAGGCGAAAGATAGTCTTTCCGTCTTGTCGATGTATTAAGTTTGCAAACCGCGTCTGGCATTTATTTAGTGATTTTATAATGATTTATAATAATTAATGGCTGTGAAGTTTGCTGAACTCTCTAGATAATTAAATACTTGTATCAAATGATATCGATTCATTTATGCCGAATATTTATCTCATTATTTAGAATGATTAAGAATGGCTATTTCAAATGTGTCCAAAAATTATCAAACTTAGCATTACACAAATATACTGGCATTTTAGAAGAAAGGGTACAGAAACAATAAGGTACATGTAGCATATAGCCTTAAGACCAACTTTTGGATTGCTTTATCTATTTGGCTTAGTTTCGTATTTAAGATACAAACTGTCAATATGTAAAATGTAGCATCAATTGACTGCGAAACTTGTTTTCCGAGCAGATGATAAGACGGAAAAGGTTACATTTGTCAAAATGAGTGAAATATGTTGGACATTCCACGGGAAGATGTTGAATTTTCTGTTTATTTAAATTTCTAAAAACAGGTTTCCAATTATCAGTCACCAAGAATTACCCAATTCACAGGTCGTTTATCTTATGACGTCACAAACAGATTTATATGTCACAGTTAAAAAAATGTTTTATCTTTCATAAATTCGCGGCAGTAAACAGTATCAGCTTTCTTATATTAATAATTTTCGATATTTCAGATCTCAGCGGTAAACACTAACAAATACGTATGAAATTCCGTGTCACACAAGACTACACGCATTAGCACCAGTCCGGACCACGGAATTACATTAGATAATTGGTCTGGACACAAACAAAAACACCCCTTTTTATGTCTTTTACTTCCGGAAAACAGGTCTCGTGGCGATAAGGGTCGCGGGACCCACAAGTCTTCCCAGTAACTTGTACGGTTTAAAAGATTAATGAAATAATTGTGTTTTGTCACGACCTTATTACATTCCATATAGCTCAGTCGTGTCTTTAATACAAGTTGTTGCTCCTAATACGGTGGAGTTCAATGTTTAGCAAGATGACTGGGCCAAAATATAACAACGTTTAATAGTTCTTACCTCAACGGTTATATAACAACATTGTTATGGTAATAATACACATATATACATCGGTACACAACAAACCTGATATATAAAAACTCTTTGGAAGAAAAGTAAAAACCGGTTTGATAGGAATTAACAGGTGTTTTTGTAAGTATAGAGTATGCCTAGGAAAGCCCATGATGACTGTTGTCAAAACGGGGAATTGTATGTTAACATTTATTTATAAAATAATATTTTCATTAGAATAAAATAATCCTGCAATTCAAAATGATGAAGCGAATGCAGAAGTCATTTTAATGTCATATTTCAACTACAAAAATATATTGTTGTAGACGGAACAGTTACCGGCAGTTTTAGAATTTGTGTAACAAAGAGGGCTTATAAACAAACAGTATCTATTTTATACGGATTAATTTGTTTGTATTAGTATATGTTTACAATTCAAAGTACAAGACTAATTATACTGAGGTAAGACGTGTACTGATATAAGTAGTGTAGATTTAAAATGATGAGATACCATCACAGTAAAATGATTTTTCTCATGGTGAATTAAAACTACCAACAATCTTATACAGACAACGTTTATCTGAAGTCAAGTTGCTTCGTCTATCAAATATATCAATAATGCACAATTTAATATATCATACATTTATGTTTTGTTAGATGAAATATAGTTATTATTAATGAAATAACACAACTATTCTATTACAACTAATTAAAAAGTGCGGAAAGCTGTGTAACGTTTAGATATTTAATGATATAAGAATAATTGTGAGGTTCTGTCATATTATCGACATTTCATTTGCAATGCAATCAAAAAATTGTCTATATACACCGGAATTTTTACAGAAGACACTGTCGATAATTTTATTGCTGACACTAAAGTTTGTTTAGTTCGGAAGCGAAAGATTGTTATTGTTTGTCCGTCGTACCAGTCTGGGAATTTCCTTCTCCACAGGAACGTTATCAGAAATAAATTTATTTTCAATATTTAACCTCTGAGACAGTGTTGATATCATACAAGTCTATAATTGATAAGATAATATTGGTGAGAAAGCACTAAATCACTGTAATAAATTAATTAATCTTGCTGATTTTTCCTGATCTTTATTTTTTGTCTTGTTATAAACAACATTACTTCAATTTTCGTCATGAATACCATAGAAAAGATTCAAATAAGCCAAAAACTTTTATTTAAATCCTTTTAGTAGTGATGTAATTGATAAATATATAATGTACGTGACTATATGTATAAAATACTTTTAACCTGTTACGTAATTCATGTAAAGAATACCAGAGATTGTTGGCACGACTTAATCATATTCAATATAATAAACTCTCAAAATGATGAAAAGGGGCGGATGAAAATACTACAATAATTCGATATATACTGAACACAAAAAGAAATATGTTAGAAACTTTTTAAACCAAATTTTATTTTTTTAACCGTCGCGGGTTACTTTCTGGTATTACAAAAATTGATAGATTCGTAAATAATTATTCAGGTTTTAATAAAGGTATTTTAGTGTTACATTGTTTGGTTTTAAAAGGTGTATTGTCAGTCATTTCTATCCATATCACCACTAAAAATAATCAAAACCAAACAGAAAATGTCTTGTTTCATGCGCAACTATTATAAGCATTACAACAAAGAAAGAAAGAAAATTAAGAAAAAAAACCGAACGAAGAAAGTGATTTTTTTTAAACCTGTTTATATTGAAAATATAAGATAAATAATTACAATTTGAAGGAATATAGACTTACCTGTCGAATATCCCTCAGAATTCAGAAACTTGGTTTTCACTGCAGGCATATCCAGTAGAGGGCGCTAGTGAAAAACAGATAAGTATAATCCATATATAACTAGTACAAATAAATCTAATTAACATCGCTACCTGTACAGGTGAGCGTTTTATCTACAACCCTAAGTTGAAATGAGCCCCGATACTCCAAACTGATCGCTGATTGGTCGACTTGTTAATAGACCACGCCTCCTCATGAATATCGATAAACATTATAGTCAGCCAATCACATTCCGTGTTACTGCCTTCAGGGATTTGTTTATGGTTTCGTGATAGAAAGCTACTTGTTGCTGTCAGTTTGGTGATTTGTGTATTACTTTTTATTTTATTTAAATTTGTCAAAATTACTACTTTTAATGGACAGTTGAGTTGTGACAATCCTTTCAATAACTTGTTTAAACCGCGACAAAAATAAAATGGTATTTTTTATATGTTTCAGATTGATTTTTTTTTATTACGTTAACCTAAATCGATATATTATACCACCTAAACCGATTTTTGACGAAGTCGATACTTTATGCCCTTTAATTGATAAGATAATTCTCCAAACGATGGTAACATAATATTTTCGTACAAAAAATAAATAAATATAGTTATCATCCAGAATTTAATGCACACTTCACCCAATTCTCACTACATTATATTTTAAACGAACATGATAATACATTTTGAGAAAGCTAATGGTTGCACGAGAAATACCCCAATAAACCTCCGTAATGTAGTTGAGAATGAGAGCTTTCTGCGTTTTTTTTACTTTAACCAACAGTTTAGTCTATAGTACCTGTACCATAAATGGTAATTCAGTATCTAAATGTATCTGTATGCATATTTTGTACAACATTCATTAAACCGCGAATTCCTAACCAAGTTTCACAAGTTTTTTTCACAAGTTTTTTTTTATTTCACTCAGCCACACTCTATTGTGGTACAAGAGGTCACATTTATACAAATACAACATTTTATTCTGTATAACTTATGATATAACAGGATTTAAGCATAATTAATATTTTCAATGTTGTTTCTAAAAATCTACATTTTTTTAAGGAGAACAGTGTTGCATATTTGAAACATTCCTGTCATGTTCACGGTCGTCGGAAAATTTTAGTAATACTTAGGTATATAGTTTTGCCTCAGTTCCGTGATCTGACTGTTATTACAAATAAATAGATAATGGAATTCGTCGCCAACATCGATGTTACAGAGAGGACATATTCTATTTTCCCTTGGGACACCTGTCCATCTTCCTGTTTCGATAAGGAATTTCAAATTTGATGTTCTGAATTTAGACATTATTTCCCAATCTTTTTCCCCCAAGCCGTTTCAAATATTCTTCTAAGCCAAAATCTTTCTTAAAAATAGAATAGGTATTCCCTCTGGACGATATTGTGCCGTCATGATTCCATTTTTGAATAAATTGATCCTGTAACTTAGATTTAAGTTTATTTTTCAGTAGCTGCTTGCTTACAGTACATGTTTCTCGAAATATCCATACATAGTTCATCCAGATACAAGCGATACAGAGGCGAGTATTTTTTCAGCTTGTCCTCGCCTAAGGCGCGATCGGTGTCATGTATTGTTTGTGTCGCGTGCAGCGTGATGTTTACACTAACTTGTAAACATATTTTCTCCCATTTTATGGGCGTAAGTGACCACTGAGCGGCTATTGATTGGAGACAACTGACCACTGTCCGGAGAACGTGTGACCAGACTGGACGACACAATACCCTTGACTGGACAATGATAGGATCATAAACGCCAATTAACACATGAACCAACCACTTGCTACAGTGAACGAGGTTTCGGTTATAATGGGTCCAAGTCGACCCTTCAGTTCTATATAGATAGTACTGTCTGGGTTTATTTCTGTAAAGCACAATCATTTGTGGCAAGCAAGCAAGAACATTAGTAATAGCATTAACATTTATGCAAGTTTTCTTCAAATACCTTAATTACGGTTTTTTTTTTTTATCAAACACATACACAAATACGTTATTGAAAGGAATTTGACGGAATTGACGTTGCTTCCGAGACATTGATACATACAGTGTTACAAGTAATTTGGTCTGTTCCTTTATAATCGCCCGGGTGTCTGTCGTCAATAAAATGTTTTTATTTTAAATCCGCGACAAGTTTCTGCGACATGCTGCACGCATTTTTGTTGGCAAGAATATACTTTTTAGATATTTCATAATATTTATATCGGATGAATTCTCTCAATAAAAACTTGGGTGAGCTCGAAAGGTCTTCTGATATAAATATATAGGTTTGGACTACACCCACTTTATCGTATAATATTCCGGTAAAACTCTACAGGATAAAATAGCTATCCATCATGACGAAGAAATAAAAACAAAGTCTATATATTTCAAAAATATAATATGAAAAACTTGTCATTCACGAAATATTCAACATCAAAACTACCAAACGGGGTGACATAACATCAACAAATGTATGTTTATTTGTTTAATCTAAGGAAAACACAATAAACTTACCTCCATGATAGCAGAGTAACCGTGTGTATATCTGTCTGTCACCTCCGTCTTAACGATGTGTCTTTCCATCTCTTCCCTCCAACATCTACAAACCCGCACCACAAAATGGTGTTCGTAACGTTTTGACTTTTTAAAAAACTGACTTTTTAATCCGACTTAATCAGCGGTTCTTTAAATTTTTCTTACGGGGCCGCAAGAAAGGGTAACTTTTATATTAAAAAGAGATCGTTTTACTTTTTAAAGTACATGTATTTTTTGTTTCAATTGACATATCATATGTTTTTATTCCGCACGACGTAAACAAATGTCTTTACAACTTAAAACTTAAATCAGTTTTATCACCGAAATCATAATGATAGATGTGATTATGTAAAATGTCATTTTAAAGCCCCTCTTTGTGGGCCTCCGTAAGGTGTATTCCTCCGGTAGTATTTTTTCCCACATGTATATTGCATTGTGCCTTTTGGGACGATTATTGTTTATAAATCGCACAAGTTCAAAGGCTACGAAAACATCAAAGATAGCCGCACCAGGTAGATTTTGACTCTTGTTTATAAGTCTTTGATGAGATTTTTGGTCCGTTTTTATCAAAGTATGCGTCACAAGTGTTCTGGTGTATATGAACATCACAAGTGTGTATATGTGAAGTGTATATGAATATCAATAAGTGCGTTAACCAATCAATGATATCATAATTACAAAGACATAATCCGGAGTAAATATCTGTGAGAAAATTAAAGATGTGTGTTTGTAAAAATAATGCGGATTTGTGTGGCGTACGCGTGTGTTGACTCAGATTATATATAAACATTATGACACTATAAACCTGGTCAGATATCACTACAGGAAACGTGTCAACGTTCTCAACAAAACAAAACAGTCTAAAACGAGGTCTGATGGAAAAACTCCAAATAATACTAATATTTTGTCATTTAATATAAACTTTATTTCATTCCAAATTAAGTTGCATTAAATCACATAACATACAAAGTACAGTATTTTGACATTTATCGGCCTTGTTTGTAATATGTCTCTGTTTCAAGGTGTCGTTCTATCCCCCCCCCCCCCCCCCCCCCCTTTTAAAAAAAAAAAAAATACGATATAGATCGACAATGGAAAACTTTGTCTTAGGAAACTTCTTTTTAATTTTTCACCATTACAAATTGGATACCTATTCCTCGTGAAAACTCACACGAATAGTCGTAGGTTTTAGTGTATTCCCCCAACAAAAGCATACGGTTTTATTGATGTAGTTATTTCAGCGTCTCTTCTATATATACAGTTGTCTTATATCCCCATTCCTTCTGCCAGTCTCATTCATTTCCTAATTCCATTTCTCCGGATTATCTTTGACCTTCCTGTTTTTCCGTAACATTTCTCCAGGTTCTCTTTGAACTTCCTGTTTTTCCGTAACTATTCTCCGGATTCCCTTTGACCTTCCTGTTTTCCGTAACTACTCCGGATTCCTTTTGACCTTCCTGTTTTCCGTAACTACTCCGGATTCCCTTTGACCTTCTTGTGTTTCCGTAACTATTCTCCGGATTCTCTTCGAGGTTTTCTGTAACCCTTTTCTGGATTCACTATGACCTTCCAGTTTTTCCCTTCTTTGATAGACTCCACCGTACCTGTACATTATTTACAAATTAATTCTAAACAGTCATATTGTTGAATAAACCCCACGAAACTGCATTAGCAACTATGTTCATAGCATGTCCGCATTTGTGTGAGACTCGGGACCGGGGTTCGATTCTCTGACGTCCTAAAGGTATGTGTATATTTTTGTATAAGGCTATGAATGCCATTAGCCTATTGTTGACGTCACCATTCTTATGATGTCATACTTGTTACGTTGGATACCATTGGCAATCCCTAGACAGACGACGGTTTTATTCACTTAACAAGCATGCACGACGGACCCATTTTTTTTAACCAAATGCCAAATAATAATAAGTGTAATTTAATTATATATAACATTCCAAAAAATAGTAAATATAATATTGAACTGCTTTCAGTTGGCATTCATGATGATATAAACAGGAACAAGAGCAAGCGCTAGCGCCTCACTGAATTTTGGCTTTATCCAGTTGGCATTCATTTGTTCTGTGAATGCCATTATCACTGAAACAAATCGCCACTTGGACGGAAAAGTAAAATAGAAGTCCAATGTTCACATTACAGATAACAAAACACTTTTATCGCCAAAAACATCGCGTATCTCATATAAATATAAAGTGCCATCGTCGGGAAAGACACCAGCGAAATTAAACTCGTAATACAGTGAGTTGTATTTGAGATATTTGAGAATACGTTTAAGAATGGACAAACTTTTCTGGAAATAACCGTCATTCCCCCCNAACAAAAGAACAAACAAAGAACAAAACCCCAAAACATTCATTCGTCCCTCTGAGATTGTTGGATTATTGACTAGTGTTGGTACGTAGCGCTTTGGTGTACCGTTATAAGAGTATTATTACAATGTGGTTGTGTATTTACCATTAGGAAGGACACACGGATCAGCTGTAGTAACAGGGATCTACGATCTAAACCTACTCGGTTATACAT